CCCCCCCAATATGTTTTGTACCCATCTGACACCATACATAGTTATTACAAGATTATTGGCTATAGTCCCTATGCTGTACTTTAGCTCCCTGTAACTGTTTTTTAACTGCCAATTTGTACTTCTTCACCCCTTCCCCTTTTTTTTGGATGAGCATTTTTGAATGTGTTTTTCAAATGTGGAGATTCAGATCATCATACTCTGATATTTTGTATATGAATCTTTTGAGCATTACAGGTAAAGGCTCTTTCACTTTTTGCTTTAAACACAGAAACTGTATGATTTTGATAATTCTATTTTAACTTCAAAAGAAACTATGGTTTTTATTTTTCAGTGTTGAAAATGAGCCCATGAGTACAAGTCAGAAAAAGGAAAATATACTATCATCAGAAGCAGTAAAGGTATAGTTTGAAATTAATACTACTTTATATTAAGCAAATATTTTTTTTAATGTCTGCTCATTCTTCTACTTTTAGATTCTGTCATTTCATTTTACATTCCAAAAAGAGCACCATATTATTACTTGATGTGGAAATCCAGCCCTGCTGTATCAGATATTTGCGTTTTGGGGTGGGGTTGAGGTGGGGGGGAGATGGGCACTGAGAACTTGGAGGGAGTGTGGTGTTCTGACCCCTCTTTGCCACTGACCAGCTCTGTGGCCTTCAGCTGAGGCATTTAGCTGCTTTGTGCCTTAGTTTTCTCAGCTGTAAATTGGGTCACGTGACCACCACAGTCTCTTTTTCCCTAGGAAGTTCTTTGATCTATGTCGACTTTTCTCACATGCTGCTGACAACTAATAGTGCTTTCGGGGGAAGAAGTGAATAACGTGTTCTCACATGTTGTTAGTATGTGATGATAAGTTTAGTCAGCTTACATATGAACTGGTTTTCTTTCCTTCTACAGGACAAGCGTGAAAAGTGTATAAGCTACACACCTACCTAGATAGTTATTGATAAGTGTGGTTAAGAAACCTTGAAAATCACTAAACGTTGAACATTTCTCCTTACTCATAAGTGATTTTCTATAAATTAGGTGTTTATGTTGTTTGGTAATGAGAGGACAGGTATGTTTTCAAGTTTTGATAGCTGTCCTGCATTCGTAGAGTTTGGTCCCAGTTACTTTGTTTTTACATGATTTGTGATAGTCAGGGAGAAAGCTTGTACTTTCTAGGGATTTCTGGCTAAGGTAGCTTGGTCAGTGGAAAGACCAGGAAGTCATCCGAATTCTTCATTACCGATGTGGAGCACTTTTAAATATTATGTAAGGTCCAAAGGCATTATATATGGTCAAGATAAAGCTGTTTTCATTCTTTCATCCTGACTCCCCTATCATTGTAAACAATATAAATAATTTTTAGAAAGAAAAATATCAGGATTGCTTGGCTTCCCTTTTCTTTCTTCATTCTTTTATGAGTTTGGCTACAGCATCCTGCTCCCAGGTTTTATAACATCTTCCATCTACTCATTTGCAGCCAGTTGTTAGCCTGCTGGCTTATCACTGCGGGAGCTCGATTGCAGCTCTCTCCCTTTCCTTCTGTTCTTACATGTCTTGATTTGCCCTACTTCAAGATTTTCGCATCTAATGCCATACATACAGCCTTGCCCTTGAATTGCTTCACAGGAAGTATGTTACTTGTTAGAGCTCAAACTTCGAAGTTTCTTTGGCTGCCAACTCTTGTCATTCCATCTCTTAATCCATCGTTGCCTCCCTACCCACTCTTGATCTTCACCGAACCTTCCTGCTCTCCGTGTTCCTTCTCCTCTCTTGGTCTCCACTCTTTTCTCCACTCAGCCTGCAATTGATAGTGTACTACTTGAACTATAATTTCACTTTCAAAAACCTCCAGTCTTCAAACTTGGCCTTCAGAATTTAATTTCCAATAGTGCTACTTTCTATTTGCAAAAATTTCACCTAGAAAGTCATATCTTTATGGATTCAGTAAATCTATATGGTGGGCAAATACAGTGGCTGGGACTGCGTGATTACGATCTTTTCTATACTTGAATTCTTAATATCTTGTTTTGAATGCCCAGGATAATTTCAATTTAGGATCTGGGTTCAAAATATGGTTCACAGTCATGAGACAGTTTCTCTTATGATTTGAGGTCTATAGGATTACTTACACAGGGACAGTCCAGGTAGCCCCTAATCGAAAGGGCAGTGTGGCACTCTTACTGGGGTGGCCTCAGCATTTTGGCCCGTGTAACCTTTTTTATGTGCCAAAAACTGCTAGGATTTCTTCAGGGACCTGTTGGTGCCAGGCATCCAAAATATGTATTTTGATAATGTCAATAGTCAGCCCTATACCTTGAGGGAAAAAAAGGTTAGCAATAACATTTATGATCTTGTTATTTTAAATAGTCTCAATTTAAGTTTTTACATTTACCAAATGTCATATAACATGTATTTGTTTTCTTTCTAATGAATAGTTTTCTGAAACACAGCACTCCACTGTAATGTGGCATTTTTTTGCCATGATTCCATCTTGTTAATCTGGTCTTCTGTGATAAGAAAAAATGTACAACATTTTTCCTCTTGAGTCTGAAACATAACAGACTTACGCATAATAAATATTCTTACACATTTCTTTTTGTGAATATTTGACTTTGAGATACCAAATCAAGAAAGTTGAAGGTTGTTTGGTTATAAGTTTAAGCTACAAAAATTAATTGATTTTTCAAACAACTAGAGATTAGAGAAGCTTTATATTATCTTTGGATATCATTAGATTCTTAGTTCTTAAAATATCATTTATGTGCTATATAATCATGTGCCACTTAACGACATGGATACATTCTGAGAAATGTGTCACTGGGCAATTTTGTCATTGTGCGAACAGCATAGAGGGCACTTACACAAACCTACATGGTAGAGCCCACTACACACCTAGGCTGTACGGCATAGTCTATTCCTCCTGGGCTACAAGCCTGTACAGCATATTTTTTGTACAAAACAACATGAGATTAAATCAAGCACAAGAGGAGATGATGCAATCAGAAGACACAGTAAACACCAGATGTATGAGGCTGCTGCTGGGTTACTGTAACACGGCATACTGTTTTGCAGAAACCTTTTTTTAATGAATAGAAAGAGTATGCTCTAAAGTAGCAAAAAGTGTAGTAAACACATAAACCAGTAATATAGTCATTTATTATCAAGTAATTGTACTGTACACAATTGTATGTGCTATACTTGTACACACCGGCAACGCAGCAGGTTTGTTTACACCAGCATCCCCACAGACACGTGAGTAATGCCTCACACTACAATGTTATGAGGGCTGTGATGTCTTCAGGCGATGGGAAGTTTTGACTCCATTGTAATCTTACGGGACCACCTGTCAGGTATACAGTCCGTTGTTGACCAAATCATTGTTAATGCAGCACATGACGACGAATTTTGCTGTTTTGCTCACATTGGTAGCTGTTTCTAACACTTGCCTCTACTATTCCACTAATATAAATATCCTTTTTTTTTTTTTTTTTTAGCTGAGCCATCCTGCTACCTGTTTGGCAGCTCAGCAGCTGCTCAGCTCGGGCCGGGACTCGAACCGCTGTTGCTCAGAGCTCAAACTCTTGAGCGAGCTCTTAACCAACTGAGCCACTCGGCCGGCCCTATAAATATCTTTTATATCCATCTGGTTTTTATATCTAGCTGGCAAAATTTCCAAAAAGATCCACCTTCTACCTTTATTTTTCTGTGGGGGCTGCAGTCTTCTGTTGTAGCTTTAGACTCTTGCTTCACTCATGTCTATTATTTAAAAGAGAGGGGAGACATGTTATGATGCCTTGCTCCTTCTACCTACTTCAGAGGGATGTTCACCTCTCTCCTTCCGAGACTAAACTCCCGAAAGCCCCCTGATAGTGGTGTTGGTCTCCTACTTCCTGCCTCCTCGTGGACCTTGCCTTGACTGTGTCATCTCTCCATCTCACCGGCTTCTATTTCTCTCTCAATATGTAAAATTAAAACAAACACAATGGTTTTTCCTTTTGTGGGTCTGGTTTCCTTTTAGTTTATCATTTTACTTCACTCCTACCTTTTACCCCAAAATTTCTTATTGAAAGTCTGTCTTAATCACTGTTTTACTTCTTAATGCTTTCTAACCTGACTCCCGTCTCCCCCTCATTCCCTCAGACATGGGAAACCTCGTATGTGCTTGGCACACGTGTCATAGATGCTCAGTAAATAGTTGTTAAATGAGTGAGTCATTCCATGAAATTGGTGACTTTTTGCTAACCACATTCAGTGGCTTTTACTTAGTTCTTATTTAATCAATTAGGACACTTGATTTTCCAAGTCTTTCCAGAAAAAAAATTTTTTTTCTTTGTCTTTGCTTCCATGATATTGTACTTTCTTGTTTCAGTTCCTGCCGCTGACCTTTTCCTTCTGTTTCCCTCACTAATTCTCCTCTGGCTAAATTACTTTTCATATAGATGAGTCTCAAAGCCCTCAGCCCTTCTCAATGTCAGTCTTCCAAAGTAATGCATCATCTTTGGCTCTTAGCTCTCTACCCAACATCCCTCTTGAGCTCTAGACTTGATTGTCAGTGTTTCAGACATTTCCACATGGGTAGCCTTTGATACCTCACATTCGGTCTGCCCAAAAGTCTCAGTGTCTTCAAACATGTTCTTGCTATATATATTTGGTCAAGAGGTGGAGGTGGTAGAAGGTAAGGAGTATCATTTATTTAACTGCTGGGGATGAGGGAAGCTCCTTGGGGCTCAGGTACGCCATATGGTGGTTTTCAACCAAATTCTTTTCTCCCACATCTCACACTGCCCCAGTGTCTTCAGATCCTGAGCTTTTTCAGGTTATCTGTGGGGTGGATTATATGCCTCATGATTAGAGTTTTCCATTGCAGACACTGGGGTGGAAGCTTTCTCCAGCCAGTTACTAGGCCTCCGTCTGTCTTTGCCTGCTAAACCTTTCCTGAAATCTCTTACCTGCTAGTATTTATAATCTTCCTCTCTTTGTATTTATAACTTAAGAAAAAATCCCTTTATTGTCATTTTAGAGTGCTTTTTACAAGAGAAGAAACCATCTACAGTGTTGATCAGAATTTTTATCTCTTATAATTGAAGAAAATGTCAGAGATTGTCATTTGACAAAACTCACACTGTTAGTGAGAGGAGGCAAGAGAATTCAGATGCAGTTCTCTGCCATAATGTTTCCCATTTGTGAAACTAAATTTACCAAAAAGAAATCCTATTAAAAAATTAAAAGAGCTGTGGCTATAAATCTGTTTTCAGAAAGGAGTCATGAGCTAAATAAAGTGAATTAAATCTGAATCATAGGTTATAGATTCTCCAACTCAGGCCTAAAACTGGTGATTGTTAGGCTTGTTCTCAATAGCTTGGCATCTGCTTTATATAAAATTTAACTCTTGTCCCATTTTAGAATT